TTGCACTAGCAGCTTGTTAATAAATAGCAATATTAACAATAACATTATAACCATTCAAATAAAATTGCCACAGGAGAATACAATTGTCAGGAAATATCCTGAGCTTACAACTCCTCACAGGAAACTTCTCAACCCAGTGAAGGAATCTCTTCAGAGAAAGGAGCTCATGACAGTCCTTGCTGATTCCCATCTCAGTCACACATGCCCTCTCCAAAATCAGCTCCAAAATGTGAGGGGGAGGACCCTCCGCCAGAAGAGCAGAAGAGACAGCTCTGGGGTTGTGGATAGAAGAGGAAATCAGCAAACATCATACCTTCCATGTATCAGTGTTTTCTGAACTAAATCCTACTCAAGAAATGTTCTCATCAGGCTAAAAAAACTGGATACAACCCAATGGATCCTAACTCCTTTAATAATATTTATTAGTGTGGGGCAAAAAGTGGCCTTCTAGATGTTGCTGGACTACAATTCCTATCAAATTCTCCAAAACAAAGCAGTGTGATGGAAGATGGGAGTTATAGTCCAACAACATCTGAAGAAACACAAGCTGGCTATCTCCATTCTGATGAAATCACTTAATCCAAAGTGTAATTCATGTACTGACTGCATAATTTTTATTTCATTACAAATAAAAAAATAAGGTTTTAATTCTAGACCTCAGCTTAAGCAGTCTCAAAAAGATAGCATACATCTTTGCTATTAGGGTGGTCTCTATTTACCGTATTGCTATCTTAAAAATAGAGGTTTGGATAAGACGTAACAATCAACCAGTGGGGGTGGATCTGATTTAAATTTTTTAAAAAACCACAGATTTTAAAAATGATTTAAATTAAAAATAATATTTAAATCATAATTTAAATCATTTTAAATTGATTTTTATCTACCCTGTAAACAGTTACAAAAAAGGATGGCTGTCAAACAAATTTTCCTTGCAAAGATGTACTGTATCACATCTACCTGATCAGTCTGAAGATCCTGAATACACTAGCAAATAATGAGTCCTAATAATAGGTCATGAATCTTGCTGGTTTTATCACTACATTTCAGTGCAGAACAATCCTCCATTCTTGTCCAAGAAAAGAATGCAGCAATGATGAAGTTTCAATTCTACACACACTTATTTGAAAACAATTTTACTGTACTAATTGTGATTTGTCATACTGCTGGCTTGCAAGTGAACTTAGGGTGAGATCAGCAAGCAGAAAACACCCCTGCCCACCACACTGAAATCCCACATAGAGCTTTCAAGTGATCCAAAGCATATCTCACCCACTCAGGGAAAGATCCAATCTTTCTCATGACTATGGGACACCAGGGCCAAAGAACCACCAGTATTTTGAATTACAGGCAAAAAGTATTGGCTGATAATGAGTAGAAGAATTTTAAATTTGGGTTGCCTTAAATATATGTTTTAAGTCTTAGGGCATAGTGTCAACACTGAAATACAGTAAACAGTTTATAGGGTTATGAGACCAAAAACATACAGTACATGTATAGCAACCAAAGATGGCTGTATCTGCAGTTATACTCAGAGAAATATCTACAAAAGCAAATCCGCCACCAGCAGTTTTGCCAACAGTACTTGACCCCCAAATGGGCATCTTGGACCTGGAGTGACTCTGCCTCCTCCACATTTTAAGGTGAATATATTCTATTTCCCTACATCTAGGCAGTGACATTACAGTCTTATGCAAATTTATTTGCTGAGTAAGGAAGAGCTGATTAGTGTGCATGTGCACGTGAATACATACAAGTTAATTTCCACTCATTCCGTTCCAAGTTTCTTAGGAGACAGAACGCAGGATTTTCTTAGATGATATGCAGGATATACAACTACAGCCCCAAGATGCTTATGAACCCATGAAGACCTGTTCACTTCAACACATGTTTTTAAAAGTGCAGGAATTACAGCTATTCAATCATTATAGCTCTCCAAGGAGTGAGGCACTTCACTCTTCATTTTTGATGCCTGAGACATCGAAAACAACGCAACAGCACCTGTACCCCATGAAATAGGAACAATTATACCAACTACATTCAGGGTTAGAATTGCTTTAAAGATTACCCCATGACATGCTACTACTAGTGATATTATAATAGGAATAACAGAATTAAATAAGGAACTCCAGTACACTTATCCAAGATAGCAGTAATTGTCTAAGGACCAGTCATCTCTGAACATATGCAAAGAAGTTTCCACCTCTGATATAAAATTAACTTCTCTTTTTAGACTTTAATTAATAGTGCAATCCTACTCTTATTTCTTAAGTGCCAGTGACTTCAGCGTGGCTTGCTCAGGGATAATTGGATACAGTATGGGTTAGAGTTTGAAAAAGGGACTTTTAAAAAGGGCCTTCACATCAACTTCCCTATTCTGCCTCCCTTCCTCTCACACCCTTTAACATTCCCACTCCGCATGGAGGCAAAATATAGTTACAAAGGGCTGTCAGCTTTAATCATTTCATGGGAATGCCACATAGCGCTGCTGCACAGTGTATCAATGCAATGTAGATATTAATGGGTCATTTTTTAAATCTCTTGAGGCCTCAAATATGCTATTAATCACAATTATGAATTCATCCACTGGCTAAACGTGTTTGTAAAACATGGAGAAAATATCACATACATTTTGCCCTATATTTCTGATCAACAAAAGTTAGGAACACATACCTTTTCTAATAATTTAGGTCAGTTTGTGGTGTAACATAACACCAAACAGCACTAGATTTAAATAAAAACCATTCCATGAGACAATTTGTCAACAACATATCTGCTTCTGTTCTTTTCCAATATTTTGTTTCTCTGCTACTACTCAAGTTTATCCCATTTTCTTCAGTAACATATGCATTTGGGAGTATAGATGAGGTAAGCCTTGCAAATCCTGACAGTTATTCAGAAGACAGACCAATGTTGTTCTACTGATGTATTGTTAATTAATCTGGTCATCACACCACCATTTCACTACAGCCAAAACCAGCTAAAATAATCAGGAGCAAACATAAAGGTTTTCTCCTTTAGATAAGCCTTTTTACTTCCCAGTGAGTCTGCTTACTCTTGAACTAGGTGGTGTCTTCCAAACCAAAGGACTCAATCTGACACTACAGCAAACACCGGTATTTTCTTTTAATAAAGCTGACCAATCGGTCTTGAAAAATGACTAACATAACTCCGGGGATGCCCTTGGTATGAGGTGTCTCGGCTTCACTTTCGGAGTTACGACAGAGGCCACCAGACGGTCCGTTATTAGAGAAGTGTAAAGAAAGAAGAGAAAACAAGTTCAAATTGTAAGAATCCTGTGTGCTGTCCATTGCTCTTCTTTTCCTCAAAACAAAACCACTATGATACCCAGTAGACGGACTAATTTATTTCAATATGACCCTTCCTTTCCCAAAAAGGAACCAAGCCATCCATGGATCCGCTACAGATGACATCTCTTCACTCGACGACGCTCCCCGCTGTGCCCAAGGATCCCTAAACATTTAGGGATTCACGTATTCACAGGCTGCTTCTTGACGCCCTTCCTCCGCCCAAAACTTAGTCCCAACGACACCCGTCCGGACCCCCTTCCCCAAGGTCGTCCCCTCGGAGCCATCCATCGCCTCAGCATCGCCGCTGCCCCTTCCTTTTTCTCCACGCAGCCCCCCGCCCTGGAGCCTCACGGGTCTTATTCCCATTAAGTCAACGCGCCCAAGGATCAGGGAGCTTTCTCCCGCCCCATAAGTACGTAGCCCCCCAAACAGCCCAGCCTCTGATCTCGCCCCGCCTGCGTGTCCCTCTCTGCCTCTCCTCTCCTCTCTTCCCTTCCTCCTTTCCGCGGCCCCTCCAAAGTCACTGGGTTCTTTCACGACCCCGCCCCTACGTTCCATTCCCGAGGGCAGGCGGGCCTCCGAGGGCGCTCATTGGCCAGCGTCCGCGTCACTCGCCAAATGTAGTGTAAGCGCGAGGGAAGGAGGGAGGCGAGGAGGCAACGGCGGAGCGGACCAGAAAGAGGGAGGAGGAGGAGGAGGTGGCAGCAGCAGCAGCAGCGGTGGAAGAGAGGGGGAGGAGGAGGGGGGAAAGAGGGCCGGCCTAGGCTGAGTTCTGCGCTCGCCCCAGCGGGGAGGGGGGGAGGAGGGAGAGAGAGAGCGAGAGAGACAGGCAGGCAAGGCGGCTACCTACCTGCCTGCTTGGCCGCGCCCTCCGCAATTGCTGGGCTAGGGTTGCAGAAAGAGCCCCCCCCGCCTTGCTTG